GCTGGGGAACCTGACGAGGTTGATCGACATAGACGTGTCGGATAACCACTTGGTCGGCAGCATACCGGACAGCATCAGCAGCCTCCCTGGCCTCCAAGTTCTGCAAGTCTACACCAATAACCTCACCGGAAAGATCCCCCGAGTGCTCGGGAATTCGACGGCTCTGACGATTCTGTCCATCTACGGGAATTCGCTGACCGGAGAACTCCCGCCCAACCTCGGCCAGTTCTCGAACCTGATCGTGTTGGAGGTTTCAGAGAACCGGTTGTCCGGCGAGCTTCCGAGGCATGTCTGTGCCGGCGGCCAGCTGCTCTACTTTCTGGTGCTGAGGAACAACTTCTCCGGCGGACTGCCGGAGACCTACGCGGAATGCAAGTCTCTGCTCCGGTTCCGAGTCAACGACAACCAGCTTGGCGGTTGGGTGCCCGAAGGCCTCTTCGGGCTTCCTCACGCATCCATCATCGACCTCGGTTTCAACCGTTTCGAAGGCGTCATCTCCAAGTCCATCGGCAACGCCAAGAACTTGACCGCGCTGTTCTTGCCGAACAACCGTATCTCCGGCGCTCTGCCGCCGGAAATCGCGTCGGCGACTAGTCTGGTGAAGATTGATCTTAGCAACAACCTCTTGTCGGGGCCAATCCCTGCTGAGATGGGCAATTTAATCGGCCTCAACCAGCTATCGCTGCAGGGGAACAGACTGGACTCGTCCATCCCAGAATCTCTATCCTCGTTGAGGTCTCTCAATGTCCTCAACCTCTCCAACAATCTTCTGACCGGAGAAATCCCCGACAGTCTCTGCGATTTGCTTCCCAATTCACTAGATTTCTCGAACAACCGGCTTTGGGGGCCAATCCCGCTCCCTTTGATCAAAGAAGGCCTCATCGACAGCGTCTCGGGAAACCCACATCTCTGTGTTCCATTCCATGTGAACCTGAGCAACCCCATCTTTGCTCTCTGTCCAAAGCCTAACCTTCGTCGAAGGCTCAACAACATGTGGATCATTGGAGTCTCCGCAATGCTCTCCATCGCCGGTGTTCTCCTGCTCGTGAAGCGCTGGTTCGGCAGGAAGAACATAACGATCGAACAGGACGGCTTCTCTTCCTCCTCCTCCTCCTCCTACGACGTCACGAGCTTCCACAAGCTCAGCTTCGAGCAGCACGAGATCGTGGAGGCGTTGATAGACAAGAACATCATCGGCCATGGCGGCTCCGGCACCGTGTACAAGATCGAGTTGAGCAATGGTGAGTTGGTCGCTGTCAAAAAGCTGTGGAGCAGGAAGACCAAGGATCGATCGCCGGATCAACTCTACCTCGACAGGGAGCTGAGAACAGAGGTGGAGACACTAGGGAGCATCAGGCACAAGAACATCGTGAAGCTGTACTGCTGCTTCTCGGGCATCGACAGCAAGCTCCTGGTCTACGAGTACATGCCCAATGGAAACCTATGGGACGCTCTTCACCAGGGGAAGAGCTTCCTGAATTGGCCAACCAGGCACAAGATCGCGGTTGGCGTAGCGCAAGGATTGGCCTATCTGCATCATGACCTGCTGTTTCCGATCGTTCACCGAGACATCAAGACATCTAACATTCTTCTTGATGCAGATTTCGAGCCCAAGGTTGCCGATTTCGGCATCGCAAAGGTCTTGCAAGCAAGAGGAGACCGCGACACTTCCACCACAGTGATCGCTGGCACATATGGCTATCTAGCTCCTGGTAATCGTTCGTAAATCCAAAGCTTTTCACCATCTTACGTGCTAATCTTGCTGGATCATTATGGTGAACCTGAATTAGATCCGGGATGATACGATTGCTACTGCAGAGTATGCTTATTCGTCGAAAGCCACTACCAAGTGCGATGTGTACAGCTTCGGTGTGGTGCTGATGGAGCTGGTCACAGGAAAGAAGCCGATCGAGCCGGAGTTCGGGGAGAGCAGAGACATCATCCACTGGGTATCGAGCAAGATGTGCACCAAGGAAGGTGCAATGGAGGTACTGGACAAGCAGATCTCATGGAACCCAATGAAAGAGGAGATGGTGCAGGTACTCAGGATCGCCATTCGCTGCACCTGCAGCAACCCAACTCTGCGTCCAACCATGAACGAGGTGGTCCAGCTCCTGATCGAGGCTCAGCCATGCAAGCCTGACGCCACCGGATCATCCTTCAAGCTCAAAGACTGAGGACACAGCTCGATCGTGATCGGTGGAAGGGGTTTGGTAGGGGTTTAAGGGCATAGCAAGCACACTAAGCCACAGCCTTGTCTTTGCTTGCTATCTATCACCTACGCTTAGATTCCACTTAATATCTTAGTTATACCACTCATACTTGTTCAAAGAAGAGGCTTGCGAGGTTCTGCTTCTCGATCATATGATCTCTTTTTCCTGTTCGTCTTCGTTTGATCTGAAGAAGGATTTTGCTGAATCTGCTTCACTCTGCTTTGTACTTACGCAGCATCCGGTGCCTGTGGACCTACATGTACATATCAGTATTCTTCTTCTTTAAGAGTATTCTCTTCTCCTTTTTTTTCTGTGTAGTTCTTGTTTCACTTTGATGACAGTGATCTAAAAGAATATGCCAGAAAGGAGGAGAGTGGGCTGTAGGGTGGTGATTTGCTCTGAGGTTCCATCTCACCAAAGTGAATTCTCCTCATCATTCTGACCTCAAAGGTGTTTGCATGAGGTATCATCATCCATTGAAGAGGCCTCAATGGAAGGTTTATGGAGAGTAGAAAGTAGAGGCTTCTTTTCAGCTTTACTGGGGTCAGATTCTACTGCTGAGGGGGTGAGGGTGAGAGGAGCAATGGTGAGACTTTGCTGCACTGGTGTGCAGGCTGCATCAACCATTGGTAGTGCCACAGAGTCCACTCATGAGTGGGTGGAGCTTTATGATGATTGAAGGGTGTCCTGATCAATCATTCAACAATGGTGAGATTCTCATTGCACAGGGTGATGCTTGAGAGAGAGAGAGAGAGAGGGGATGAACTAGTTGATGCCCCTCCTCCTAATTCTACAAGGGAATAGAGTAGCCAAATTGCTGGCTCAACATGTTGGACATACTGATAATAAAGGTCATTAGATGCTTTAGGATTTGAAGAAGCAGCAGCAGCATGTGATTGATGATTGGCAACTTCTGCAACATTGCAGAGAGAGAGAGAGAGAGAGAGAGATTTGGGGGAAAAAAAATATAGGAGCTGCATGCTAACTTAGGCCTCTTTAAGAGTTATTCTCATCAAAGCAATTATCTCATCAAAGCAATTAATACAGTGTAGCATATCACAAATATTAGCATGACTTTTTCAGGTTTTGTCAGTAAACAAAAAAAAAAAAGCTTAAATGACAAATCTTCTCAAATTACAATCTGTGTTGGATTAAGTTAGTAATTTATTTTTTTTGTTACCAAAAAACAGCTATTTTCTGTTCTCAAATATCAGAAACAGGTTTCATGGTATACAGAATGTATCTTTCTTTTCTACAAAGACATACACATACATAAAAGCATCATCATATGTCTCCATTCTGAAATTAATCTGAAACCCAATATTTGGTGAGTAATGCTTCCACATCTCACTTTATCAAACACTCAATCAAACATATAATATTATAAGAATTAGGTAATGGATGAGAGAATATCTAAAAATTACTTTGTCCATGTTAAAAGGGATTACTGATGATAGATAGAAAGGACATTTGACTAAATAAGAAGGGTAGTGTTTGACCAAGGAGATACATAAAATATTTCTCTTCTTTTGCTGCCACCACCAAACTACAAATAATCTCTCCTCTTAGCAATTGGTGCCTTATGAACAACTACAACTTGTACTGTATCAAAAAACAATTGGTCATTCCATACATGCCACAATATTAAAAATGAAAAAGGCTTGAGTTCATGAGAAGACATCTTAGTAGTTGAGTTACTTTATTCACAATCACTATATCTGATAATAAAAAAAATAATCTGTTGTTAACTATATTCATTTTCAGGATTTCTTTGGAAATGGAATTATCTTGTACGAATTAATTCTTGATTCTTTATATTTTATTCTTAATTGTAATCTTCTCATATATCTTACTTATGATGCTGCAGCTTCTTGCTCAACGTATATCCTAAGCTTTGTATCGTCCAAGAAATGAGGCCCGACATCTCACGGAGAAAGAGCAGAGACTGTAATCTCCTCCTATTACGGTCATCGATATCATGCATTCATTTCCACTCATCGATTCCACTGAATAATGAAAGGCACAAAACAGGGAAAGGCTCGTCGTCGACCGCCAGAAAGAGCAGAAGCCGTCGCCACCGACGACGGATACGACATGGCATACTCATCGAAGCCTTCGTGGTGAAGCACGGCAAGAACGCTGAAGCTGAGGTACGTCGGCGACAGCTCCGGAAGTGGCGAGGGAGCATCTCATTTTGCTGGACTGGGAGTTGGCGGAAGGGATCGATACCGGAGATGAGGGATCCAAGGCCGGGGGAGGAGTGTGCGGCGGAGGAGGTGGAGCTGGTCTTGAAGCTTGGGTTGCTGTGCTCGCACCCGCTGCCCACAGCCAGGCCAAGCATGCGCCGAGTCATGCAGTACTTGGAGGGCACTGCGCCGCTTCTGGAAACGTTGGGATGCTTCGCAACAAAGGGTTCGATGATTCCTTCATGTCGAATCCGTCCTCGGTGGCCACTGCCTCTGTTGTTTCCGCAGGTCGATGACGAAGTGGATGATGCCTCGAGTGCAAGTAGTAGATTGGAAGCTGCACGATGGGAGATGGATTCTTGACTGTGCATGTAACTTTGAATGCACTGATCCAATTTTATCTCGGTAATAATCACGATAGAATGTTTAACGCTTTTATGAGTAGGATAGATATAGGTATCTTAAGAAGTAACAGTTTATGAGAACATTCAGATAGTGAGTGACTCAGGAAGAGTTCAAAGAGGCAGCGAGGGCTGAAACTTGAACCAGATGATACAATTCTAGAACACAGGAAGAAGAAAGATTGATCTGTTATCTAGCAAACAAAGCTGTATATTTACATCTTACAATACATAATGGGTCATTGGAACCTCTACCACACTCTATCTCGAAACATAATTCAACTATCTACCCCCAAAAGTGATTTCTTTGGTTAAAATCTGATAAAACCAGTGGTATTTACTGTGAGCAGCAGTAGGAAGACGCCGTAGATGGTCTCTCGGTTGATATATCAGCTAGAAGAATTCCATGAGAGTTCTGTACCGGCTGTCCGTAGATTATTCTTTTTGCTGAAACAAAAACCACAGAAAATAGCATGAGAAATTACAAGGCCCCAAAAAATGTCAAACCACCGTTACCACAAGACCGAAGTGCAAACTTCAGCCCGTTTCTCGAATATAAAATCTTATATATTTAAAATGAATCACAATTTGAAAAAAAAATAGTAGTAGTTTAGTATATAATAAAATCAGCAACTCCCAACATATAGTCGATGATGGTGTGCGGAAGCAGCAAAGAGTATCAGCACTCTTGATCAAGAGTCAAGAGGGAGCTACTTTGTAAATTGGATAAGTTTGTGTGCATGAAATGTGTAGTATGTGAACATGCTCAGATGACCACAGTATGCAAAAGCTCCAATTCTGTAGAATCTATATTCTTCCTTTAGATCATTCAGAAAGGAACTTACCAATTTCATAGAATATGTCATTAACATTAATTGCCGTTTTAGCAGAAGTTTCCATGAACAAAAGACCATTATCCTCGGCATAGGTTTGGGCTTCCTGCAATCAAGTATATTGTGTTGTTAGTAATATACGCTAAAGGCAAGTGTTCAAGGTACAAGTTCAAATAAAAATACTCAGTTAGCCAGCACCCAAGGTGTCACCTATCCTAGTACTGCTCTCACCAAGCATGTTTAACTTTGGATTTCTGATGAGATTTGGTGCATTAGTGTTGGTATGATCGTACAAATTGAGAAATGGGAAAGTTTGGTATTCTTGACAGTTAACTAACATCTGCAATGCACTGAGAAGCCTCAAGCTATTAATGCAACTTTTTGTTACTTCTCTTTTTTAAATTTCACTTTCTGCAAATATAGTTTTTAGATACATTTAAAGTTGCAAAGCTCTGCTTTTGCATGTTTCCTTTCAAGTAATAGGCCTAACAGATCTAAGACAATGTAAGACAGCAGAGACACATGAAAGAAACGCTTGGTCCATTTCCATCCAAGAAAGAAAAAGAAGGCCAATGAACTGAGCCTATGCAGGCAGGTGAGGCTCAATGAATTCTGAGATAAAATGAACTTTAAAGTTGAAACTGAAAGCATATCAATGGTTGGATCTATTAAAAGAGAAGCGGTGATGAATATTCTAAATTCATATTTCTAAGAATCAGAAGGCAACCACCAAGAGTACTCACCTCAGCAGAAACCTGTCTAGCCTCTAACAAATCAGCTTTGTTACCAGCAAGAGCAATTATAGTGTTTTGGCTACCTGAAACATTACAAAGCATTCAAATCAATTCAACAAAGTGGAAATTGCTACAACTTTATAGGCACTGCGACAATAACACTACAAATCCAGTGCTTGTGGTTCATCAAAGGCTCTGCTTTCGTATGTAAGCTTAGTTATCTTGATCAGGAAGATAGAAGATTATTATTATCAAGCCAAAAGATCCAGAATCTGATCTCTCACATAGGATAGATGGAAGATATTAGTTTAAAGAATCGTTTGGATAATGTAACAAAAGTATCAAAGACGCAGCAGACCAACTACTGACCCAAGCACAATATAAGCATGTACATAAGTTCTTGCTGACCCTTATTAATACTGGCGAAACAAAAATTTGTTTCTAGCAGAAACTAAGTGCACCTGTGCATGTAAATTATGATCAGTCAATCAAAAACAATTAGAAGCACTTAAGGTCCTTCAAAAAGACCAACTGAGTATATTAAGAAAATGATTAAAGCTATTAAGGCAACATTTCACCAAATGATAAATTGGAAAACTAGTTGTGTTAACTATCCAAACCTGACAAATGAGAAATCCAAATGTATTAACTATCCAAAATAAAAATGTAAGTTGCTACCTTGAATTTCAAGTTCTTGAACCCACTTCTTTGCTCGAGAAAATGTGGCCTGTAAAAATAGTAACAGAATCTTTAACAGAGAATTCAAGGACCTTTAGTGAATACATAAAGCACACATTTTCATCGGCCTTCAACTACAGAAAAACAGATGTATTTTAATTTTTATGTAACCCAAAAAATGATGGAATGGTACCACATTATACCCATTTTAGTTCACTTCTATATCAACAGTATTTAAACTTAGTCTTTTGTAACCGCTACCACTAAATTCTTCCAAAATTTATAGAGATTAATGCATAACCAAACAAGCATTTCAATTTAAGTTCGCATTAAAAAAAAAAGAGTTTAAGTTCTCATTCCCATTTTCTCTAATTCATGATGATCATGAATTACATAATTAGGAGACAAAAAACTCCTTTTACATAATGACGAAAAAATAAATTAACTAAAGTTGTCACTCAACAAAATGGAACATAACAAAATATGCAAGGAAAATATTATCCTCCTCATGAATAAGGATGACCTCCTTCCTTCAGACTATGCCCACTATACCAATATTATTCACAAAATTAAAGGCCTGATCATAAATAAAATTGTGCAGATTATCATCCAAAAGATTTTTCAAGTCAGAATTGTGATATACAAACTAGGGAAATCGTGTCATAAAGGAAGTTGCGATTACATAATTCCAGATTACCATATTCACCATAAAGATTCTTGTCCTATTACAGAAAATTTATTGATCTTTCATCTAAGAAAATCAAATGAAATGATATAATTTCCCCCCTTTTTCTTCCTTCTCAAACTCATAATTTTCTCCTCTTATGAATCTTATACACCCTCATGTATGCTTCATTCCATTTTACACTCAGGGTTGATAATAATATTAGGAAACTTGCATCAGTTAACAATAGCCTCCTACACAAGTTCAGGTATAGAACATTGGATGCCGATATTCATATATGCATGAGCAACGGCACCATAATAAGCCAAGTACTTTTACAGTATAATCCTATTTCACTAACCGGATTCGTTATGTCATAGACAACCACGGCAGCTGCAGATCCTCTGTAATACATAGGAGCCAAGCAATGATACCGCTCTTGCCCAGCTGTATCCCAAATCTCAAACCTCACTGTCTCATCATTGATTACAACTGTCTGCGTGAAGAATGCAGCGCCTATTGTTGATTCCTGCAGAATATAGACACATACGTGACAAGGCAAGACTACATAATTCTTCTTTAAACCCTGAATTCCTCGATATGACTCACATGGAAACACAACACAAACCTGGAATTCAACAAACTCGCCTTTCAAGTAGCGAAGTACCAAGCTAGATTTTCCCGTCCCCACATCTCCAAGAAGAACCTGATAAACGAACCAATAAAACAAAACTTACTCTGATTGTACTTCATAGGGTTGAAGGGTTAATCTACAAAATCAAAGGATATGCGGGAAGCACATAAACCGCTACCTACGACAGCCAAAACAATCATGATCATGAGGACAGATATAATGCCATTGTATCAATGCTATCCAAAATTACAGAGCCATTAACATCAACAGTACGTTACAATATCCAACAAAAACTAAGCAATCCGATTTAACTACTGGACAAAATCCCAATTTTATTACTCGCATCGAATGATTAAGTTAAAATGCCTGAAAAGAAAACCCAGTTGGACTCAGTAAGCTGCGAATAAAAGGATTAGTTTCGAAGATTGAAGGGATAAAAGCGATCAAAACAATAGTAACCCAAAAGAAAGCATTTTGAATAACACCAAAATGAATAACGCATCAATAGTAAATGATGCGTATCTGCAAAACATATTACCAATTTCGCTTTCTTGATCTGTCCGGGTCCAGTAGTTGCCATCGTTCTCAAGATTCGAAGCAGGAGAAGTATCGCCGCAAGAATTCGTTTCTTCTTCCTCTGTGGTGCGCCGATCGCGGAGTCGTAAACGCTGGTGGTTGTGGTGACATCTATATATACGGTGAGGTTGAGTTCTAGTAGTCCTGCGGCACATATAAATGTTTCTGGTACCGCTCCTCGATCGTTTAATCTGGTCCGTTGGATTTTTCACTAGTTTTCTTGATGGTGTGTCGATTTAATGACAAAATCTTTTGTTTACGTCACGTTCTCTACCCCAAAAAGCACCGTAAAGTTTGATTGGTAGAGAGATGGAGCCACCTAGACAACGTCATCAACTGTCTCTGGCTGACGTGGTGGTAAGGTAGAATATGGGCGTCCCAAAATTTTGGTGTACCAATAGCTCTTTCTTTTTTTCTTTTTTTTACCAATATCTCTTTTAATGTTTCCATTTTACAAGCAAACTTATATATATATATATATTCATTTCTTGAGATCCTTAAAAACTCAAAATCTACGTTTATCTGTGAAACAAAGTAGAGACATTAGTAAAGTAAGTAAGGAGACATTATATATTTAACTACTATCAATACTAATCCAAAATTATTATTGTAATAATTTATTTTGAACTAAAACTAGTGATTCATTAGTATTAGTTAATTCACCTTCTTTGTCTATATGCAATATTAAGAAGAGGATTATATAAATTAATTTTTGTCTATATGCAATATAGTTAATTTTGGTCATCAAGTCTACATGACAAAATTGATATAACCTATTTTGCTTTTCGAGTATTCCTCGTCTTTGGAAAAAGGGAGAGAAGCTTGACTGAATAAAGAAAAATATTACTTGAGAGTATAAAATACTTATACTTTATATCTTGTATCTCGGTTCAGAATATTTATATCTCATTATTTCTCAAGACTATTTTGATAGTTAAATTAATTTTATTTTTTTTAATTATGGACGAAAGATACATAAACATTCTAGCAATATAAGTTCAATTTAGTGAATTCAAGTTAGAGAGAGAACTTTATATATGTTGGTCTTGTAACCATCCGTCTAATATGAGAATATTTTTTTAGGTGATATGAAAATGTCACATATTTAGTAGGCATCCACGTTATACTTCATTTATTATATCTCAATAGGTCAAAATTGTTAGGATGAAGAGCGAGGAGGAGTGCATTAGTGTCGTCGATAAAATTATGTCGGTTCGAAAATCATTAGTTATACGTGACTTTAGAATAAATGAACTAGTAATTAACTTACAAAATAATGACATGAATAAAAAGTAGAAACGAGTGCACTAGAATTTATAATGGTTCGGTCATTATAACCTACATCTACTTTTGATTCCTCTTCTGTTGAGGTCACCGACGTCCATTAATGATCTTATTTCAATAGGCGAAGACAAATCACCTCTTTATAACGCTTTCTCCTTTCACGGGTTTAGGAGATAACCCTTACGAGCTTCGTATCTCTTCTTGGATGATTACAAAATTAAAGAGAGGGAGGAGGAGGACTCTTCTCACTTTTACAATAGTTTTAACACTCCAACACAGAGTTTTTTTCACATTTTGATTGCACTTTGTTACCCTTACATGCAGAAAAGGGTGGTATATTTATAGGCCACAATGACTTTAAAATTAGAGCTAAAAAGTGTCTCATCCCGGATTTTCAGGGTACTGACAGTACCATCGTTAGTACTAGGTGGTAGCATCGTTTGACACTCTGACACTAGACGGTACCACCGCTTGACAAAGTCTCAGATACTAAGCTTTGGTGGTACCATTGCCCGACAGGCGGTACTACCGCTCAGTTTTGATAGTACAATCGCCCAGACCACATGGGAGACTGCTCCCTAGGCGGTTCCACTGCCAGACAGGGTCCAACAACCTGATTGGGCATTGAATCCGATCCAAATCAATCCAATTACGGGTCCAATTGGCCCCTAATAGAGTTAGTGGGATTACCTCCCAAATCTAACCATAATTACATGCTAACTACGATTTTTAAGGCATATACTAAGAAAATCAAGTTCGGTAAGTCTAGGTTTCTTTCGGCGAACTTCCGACGATCTCTCAGTAATGTTCCAACGTACTCCCGGTAAGCTCCTGGACTTTATGATGATCTTCTTGGCGAGTTTCGACGAGTTTTTTGGCAAGCTCCTGGACTTCTCGGTCAATTATGATAGAACTTTCGACGAACGTTTGGACTTCCGACAAACTTTCAAACTCCCGATCTTGCTTTATACCTTGATTATTATCGTAGTTAATCCTGCACACTTTTCTCATTTAATCAAATAATTTACCAATTAATTTCATCGTTAAAGATTCAACAAAAATAATAACTATATTATTGGGCCCTAAAGAGATTCGATTATTATAAAATATGTTTAAAGATGATCAAATAATAAAAAGATGTGTTAGATTTAATTATGGGTAACGACTACTTTGGCAGTGCAACGTCAACATCCCCATCTAAATTGTGTTAGACAAGTCAGCCAAGTGGGCACGATGAGTCAACTAAGTGGACATGCCATGTCAACAGATAATCAATGTCATTTTCATATATCAACGATCAAAACGTTTCTTTTGCACACTATCCATTCGAATCCTCTTTTCAATGCCACAACATATGATGAATGTGAAAATAAATCCTGATTAACTTTGAATCTTCTTTTAAGCATCGAACAATTTAAATTTGATTTAATAATAAAATCGAATGCTTCTTTACACGTAAAATCGAATGTTTCTTTATCAATCACATCATAACTATTGGTACTTTATGATTGTTAAACAGCATAGATGAGCATAACATGCACAAAACTCTTGATAGATTTGAAGATTAAAATTTACATAATATCATTAAAATTAATCTTCATCAGCTACTTTAATTAAAACTCAAATCGACATAATTATATTTAAAATTTATTTATGGATACTAAAAAAACATTTTATTTTTCTATATACTTCTTTAAATCGAATAACATTAATGGCAGTGACATTCAAGATACTAATATTATATATCAAAATTTATGCTGACATATATATAAACCTTACATTTTTCATGGATATATATGAGTATAAAGATTAATATATAATTTTTTTCTTTTATTATTAGTTAAGTAGAAAAA